AAAAAACAGAGGCAAATTGGGGAGGTTTCCGCAATAAAATTCCCTATTCACAAAGGAAATTGTTTGGAGTAGGTAAAAATAAACTGGTATTTGAGAATGCTTTCTAAAAGAAAACTTGTGTCGAATTGTTCGGTTAATTAATTGTTCATTTTTCGCTTGGTTACCTTCGTGTAGCTTTCGAAGACGTTAATAAACCAGCTCGCTGGCAATTTTCTTCAAATCAATGTAACGTATACGCGAAGGGGATGTTATTTATGAGGAAACCATTATTGTCATTGGTCCGTACACATTGCAGTAATTAGATTTATTTAAAAAAAGCAGTTGTTTTGTATATTTGTCAAAATATAGATTTGTTGTCATTTGTGGAGGAGGATTTACTTTTTTATGTAGAAAAGTTACATTTGGCGACCGTGACTGTGTTTCGTAGCTTTTCGAGGTTGATTATGAAAAAGGCATAAAAGGTACAGTTAATTTTGCGTATTTATCCTACATAAAAATGTGTGACAATTTCATTGCATTTTGCATAGAAAAGAAGTAAAGTTTGAGGACGTTTAGAAGAAAATTAGGATTTTTTTATTTTTAAACGTGAATTTTAACAAGGAAAGTGGGATTGTTGACCTACCAAGTGAAGAAACCCAAGAAGTAATTGCTAGCTCAATGAAAGAAACGCAGGAAGAAATCCAGCAGGAAGAATCAACAATGGGGATAACTGAGATGCAGCACGATGTACTAGCCCGAATCCTTGAAGCGATACAGAGGTCAGAGGGTAATTTAACGGAAAGGGTGGATAGGCAGGAGGCAAAGATGGCCGAGTTAAAACAAATACGGGAAGAATTGCGCGAAGAACTAAAACCACAGGGGAGAAAACGAATCTCAGAAATAAATACAAAAATGAGTGAAATGAAGGAAAAACTGCAGGACCACGGAAGGAGATGGACGGAACCGAAAAACAAATAAAGGAATTGCGAGAGAAGACAGATAGAGGGCTTCGAATGGCTTTGCAAGATAGAGAGGAATTGAGAGAGGCGTTCAATCACGGGATACAAAATACAAAAATTGATTTCCAGGGCTATGAGATAGTCAAAATTGAGAGACATGGGAAGGAGAATATGCGCAGAATGGACCAAAAGAATAATAAGGAAATCGGGGGATGTAAAAAGGAAATTGATAATATGCGAGAAGGGACGAGAAGAAGGCCGAGTATGGGCGGGCTTAATTACGGTATGGCGTTGAAGGGAGACCTGGACCGTCTAGAAAAATTGACGAGTGCGGGAAAGGCGCACCCTATGTCATTTTTAAAAATTTTAGAGGCGACAATTTTTAATAATCGGCGCATTTATGGGAGACAATTGACTAATGTCGACGAAATTAGCTTAATTAGGAGCGTTCTCAAGCAGGATGATCAGAATTGGTATGATACAGTCCTGGATACAGTGGATGAAAAAATTCCCAACTTCGAATCTTTTAAAGAAAATTTTATAAATCAGTATTGGGGTGACTGGGAGAAAAATAACATACGGGATCAATTAAACATGGGGAAATACAACAAAGATAGGGATAGCCGAGTAAAGTACTTGATGGAAAACTACTCAATTTAAATATTTGGAAAATGGGGTACAGGAATCGGTGCTGGTTAGGAGGTTGGCTAAACACTACGAGGATGAGATTTCCCAAAAGGTGACGAAAGACGTTGTGATTGTGACGACCTACGAGGAATTTTTAAGGATGTTAAAACGTATGATACGGCCGATGAGGAGAAGGACGCGACTAGGGAATGCAATCCTGCAGCAAAATCTCAATCCCGGTATTTGCGGGAATGTTAGATGTTAATCCCGCGGGATCCCGATATTTGCGGGATCACGCAAAAGTTTATATAAATTGGCAAATAAGCAATTCTGTGCGGTTAACTCCTGTATTAAAATAAATCGCTAATTATCACAATATTTAACAAAAAAGTCGGCCTAACTTAGTACTCAAAAAAACCTTACCTGTAAAGCACAAAAAGTCTTCTAAAGTGCCTCAAAAATCATAGTACATTTTTAAGGAAAAAAGTTTAATAATTATTTAAAAAATAACTTCTCCGTTATGCGTTTCAATAACAAAGTAAACAGAGTCGTCCCCTTTGTCGACAAATTCCTCAGTCCCGCAAATCCCGCGGTATCCCGCTCCATTTATGTGCGGGATTAATCCCGCAAAAATGCTGCGGGATCCCGGTGTTTCGGGATCCCGCGATCCCGGTATTGCATTCTCTAGTTTCCAGTCTATAACTTTTTATTGAGAAGTCTGATCGAAAAAGTACGAATTGTTTTGGATTCTACGCACCAAAATTAATAAGAAAAAGTGTTTTTCCGAGAAATTTTGGTGCAGTCGATTTTTGGTAAAAAAGGAAGGTTGTACACTGCCTTTTTTGAGGCCCTCAAAAAAATTGTCTCAGATCGACCCGGGAAAAAATTTTTCTTATAGAATGTGGCCTGTAGAATCCATAATTTCAAACAGTTCCTAGATTGGGCTACTAGTTCAAAAGTTACAGCCCTTTGAATTTTTTTTCGAAATTGGTTTCTAGTCTATAACTTTTGATTGAGAAATCTAATCGAAAAAGTACGAATTGTTTTGGATTCTACGCACCAAAACTAATAAGAAAAAGTGTTTTCCCGAGAAATTTTGGTGCAGTCGATTTTTGGAAAAAAGGAAGGTTATACACTGCCTTTTTTTTGCCCCGAAAAAAAAATTGTCTCAGATCGACCGGGAAAAAAATTTTTCTTATAGAATGTGGCCTGTAGAATCCATAATTTCAAACAGTTCCAAGATTGGGCTACTAGTTCAAAAGTTACAGCCCTTTGAATTTTCTTTCGAAATTGGTTTCTAGTCTATAACTTTTTATTGAGAAGTCTGATCGAAAAAGTACGAATTGTTTTGGATTCTACGCACCAAAATTAATAAGAAAAAGTGTTTTCCCGAGAAATTTTGGTGCAGTCGATTTTTGGTAAAAAAGGAAGGTTGTACACTGCCTTTTTTTTGAGGCCCGAAAAAAAATTGTCTCAGATCGACCCGGAAAAAAATTTTCTTATAGAATGTGGCCTGTAGAATCCATAATTTCAAACAGTTTGAAGATTGGGCTACTAGTTCAAAAGTTACAGCCCTTTGAATTTTCTTTCGAAATTGGTTTCCAGTAGGGAATCCCGCAGCAAAATCTCAATCCCGGTATTTGCGGGATTGTTGGATGTTAATCCCGCGGGATCCCGGTATTTGCGGTATCCCGCAAAACTTTATATAAATGGGCAAATAAGCAATTCTGTGCGGTTAACTTCTGTATTAAAATAAATCGCTAATTATCACGATAATTATCAACAAAAGTACCTTTAGCCTAACTTAGAACTCAAAAAACCTCACCTGTAAAACACAAAAAGGTGAACTTCTAAAGAGCTTCAAAAATCATAGTATAAAAAAAGTTTAACAATTATTTAAAAAATAACTTCTCCGTTATGCGTTTCATTAACAAAGTAAACAGAGTCGTCCCCTTGGTCGACAAATTCCTCAGTCCCGCAACTCCCGCGGGATCCCGCTCCATTTATGTGCGGGATTAATCCCGCAAAAATGCTGCGGGATCCCGGTATTTCGGGATCCCGCGATCCCGGTATTGCATTCTCTAGATGCGACATATGATTATAAAGTTAGGGAACAAGGACGGCAGTATGAAAGGCAAGGATATGGGAATAATTATAATAATAACAGTAAAGTTTATTGTAAGCAAGAATCTTACAAATGGACAAGGGTTCGCCTGGTTATGCGATCTACCGCCCTTCCAAATCTAATCATAATTAAAAGGTGTGACATAAATCTCTTACCAAGCTAATAAAATTAACATAAATAATTATTAACCATTGAGTTACCTACAGTATTGACAAATATATGAGTATAATAATATTACTTCAAACTAAGTATGAAAATAACAAGTTGTTAAAAAAAAGTAATTCCTAAGAATCAATGGAGAGGAAATAGACACTACGGGGAAAATCAAGAAAGGGATAATTGAAAGGAGAATTATAACCGTAGTTACAACAATTATACTATAATAATAATGCCAATTACAACCGGAATAATAATAACAGTTTGAATTCTAACAGGAATAACGACAATAATGTTAATTATAATCGGGATTTTAATTATCAGCAAACGAATGAAAAGGAGTATCAGAAGGATCAAATGGAAGAGAGAAGGGAGGAGGAGAGACGGTCTGAATATGCAAGAGAAAGATGGGTAAAATTCAAACTTATTTGGTCCCTTTCCATTATACACAAGAAGTACGTAGAGTATTGGTGAAAATGATTGAAAATGGGATAATTGAAAAGGTCACTACTAACATAATCAACCCGTTGCTTCCTTTCTAGCTCCCTTCGCTTATGTTTGAATGCCCTTAAACTAAACAAACGCACAACGCCTCAGTTAGAATCACCTCAAAAAATAGAGTCGTTGTTAGAAAAAATATTTCTATTTCTAATTTCAAAATTAGATTTGCAAAATTAATTTTGGCTCATTGCTTTAAAAAAGGGTCTAGGAAATTTACGGGATTTAGTGTCGACGGAGTGACATATCCATTCAGGGTAGTTCCATTTGGGGTAGCTAGTTCTTGTGCGGCATTAGTTAGAGTTAGAGCAATGGAATGCATTTTAGATAGATTTGACAAATTTTGCTTACCTACATTATGTCGACGACATAATAAGGAGGAACACTTCGATCACCTTCAATTAATATTGCGTGAGTTAAAAAGGAATGGGATGAAGCTACACATAGAAAAATGTGAATTTATTAAAGACAGGTTTATTTTCCTAGGAAATTAAGAATTTTCCTCGACCGACAAATGTTAGAACGTTACGAGGGTTTCTCGGAATATTAAATTATTACAGAAAGTTTGTGCCGTCGGAACTATTACTCCCATTAACGGAATTGTTGCATAAAGGAGTTTTTATTTACATTCTTTCTTTTGAAATGTGAGAGGGTGAAGATAAGGTGTCAAAATAAATTTTCCCAAATTCATGGAAGTTACTCGTATATTTTAATATAAATTACGCAAGTATCTTAATAGTAACCACCATAGGTGCTATGACCAAGAGGTAATCCGCGCGCAAATCCGCCTAGAGCAAGGCCATTGTGCGCCAAAGGTAGAGCTCTAGCGTATCCCAATCCGTGTCCTCCAAGTGCGAATGAAGCGGCGCCTGCGTATCCAACACGAGCGATTGGAGCTGGAGCGATTGCTGGAAGAGCTCTTACGATCGGTTCAAGATGTGCAACTTTGGTGACGGTGGGAGCGTAGGCGATGGCTGGTGGTTGGGGGACTGCGTAGCTGTATCCGGGGGTTTCGGTGTACTGGACACGTGGAGTGATGACATCGCTTCTGTAGGAAGACGAGTAGGATCCCGGGATGAAATCGGTCTTTGTAACCGCAGGCGATACGTAGCTTCTGTAAGCGATCGGAGCCGGAGCCGCATATCTCAATCCGGATTCTAGGTATCCGGCATTGGCGAATGCGATTAAAGCGTAGATTGTCACAAGCTGCGAGAAACCAAAAATATTATTTTGTACGAGTACGAGATTGACTTACCTTGAAAGACATGGTGTGAGCAGAATGTTACAACTGATGCTTCGGTTACAGTTCCTCTGGGTTTTATACTTGATTTCTGAAAACTACTTTTCCTCCACATTACACTTACTTACTTGAATTTATCATTAAGGGATTATTACATATTACACTTAATTAGGTTTTTATTACCTCCGGGAGGTAAACTGTCGTAATTATGACATGATCGGTAATATTTTAAACTTCTCTAGTGCCAAGGTTACCTTCACTTCAATTCAATTCAATTGAATAGGAAAAATACTCACTGAATTGAGTAGCTCCTTCTTCTCGAATATATATTGGAATCTTTTCAGCTGCGAGGGGTCGCTTTTATGTTCCCGGACTGCGCTGTTATAAATTTTGATGCAGTTTTTCATTATGCTGTTTTTTAATCACATAGGTATGCCTTGGTAACTACAAAACAAGAAAAACCTCTAAAAATTATCCTTAAATAAATGCCTGTATACGAGGGATGATTGCCCTTCTAAGTCAACTATTTTCGAATGGTCAAAATTGATCTCCCAACAAATTTAGGCACCCCTTCTGCAAGAAAAATAATGGCAACAATTGTTGGGACTCTCCAGGAGTTTTGCTAATTGATTATTATATGAATTAGGGTAGTGCGGTAACGGGAGAATGTTTTGCGAACCTAATGAGATGCTGGTAAAGTGAGGAGACGCGGAAAACTGACACAAGGTGTCTTGTTGCTCCAGGACAGTGCACCAGTACACAATTCCAGACTTTTAAAAAGCTGCTGTAGATGATTGTGTCTTCGAAAAATTGAACATCCGCCTTATAGTCAAGATCTGGCATCCAGTGACTATTTTTGTTCTCGAATCTCAAGAAAAACGCTAAAGGGGGACAAATGACGAACTTATAGAAGCTGTTGAGGGCCAATTTGCGGAAAAGGATTAAAGATGTTATTGAAACTCAGCAAGGGGAACTATATCAACAAATAAAATGTCATGCCTAGGCTCCTCGTACGTAATAAATGACTGCGATAAGACCTATTTATCTTTAACAGATCGGCCTCTCCCGAAAAAGTAAATTCTTACACCTAGTACAACGTTTCTTGCATGACAACGGACAGATTTACATATCAATCGACACAAACATCGGATTCGCAATTTTTTAGGTTATTTTATATGCAATTGGAAGATACTAGATACCAAGTTGAATAAACCTGGTAGGTAGTAGATTAACACATAGATGGTATCATAAATGACATAAAACTAATCGTTTCACCCACAACTATTTCTTATAGCCCGCTTGTATTTCACATATTTGAATGAATCCAGTTACAGCTTGTACTTGATGAATGGTGTCGTTCACTTTTAAAGAATAAATGCCGGATTTTCGTCCGTCATGTATCGTACTATCGTCCATATCTCCAGTTATCTTTTTTGATATATATTAATATACCGGAACGTTTTGACTAAAGAGATTGAAGTAACTAATTACAGTGTTGGTTGTGGCTTTAACAATTCTTATTTAACCAGATTAACGACACGCGTACGAATAATATAAAACAGTGGTACTTGACCCAACACTTACAATTTCGGGGATTCTAAAATGGTCATTCCCTATCTCCCCCACTTTTTTTTTACTGCTTTAGGATGTAATATTCCAGATACATTGGCTTTTAACAAACTCTGCTAGGTCTGCTGGATGAGAGTTGAAAAACTACCTGCTTCTTTGGAACCAGGGTGGCTATCAGTTAATTGATGTGGTGTGGAGACTAGATAGAGGGATTCTGTAGCTTGGTAGACAGAGCGTTCCACGAGATCGTTTGTGGCAGGGTGATTTGGTGCGCTGAATTTCTGGAAGATTCCCCTTTTTTTGTAATAGTTCAGAAATTCCAATGAGCTATTAATAAGATTTTAAAGAAACGATTCAATGAATCCAGAAAAAAATCAGCAGTAGTCCTTTAGGAGATCCAGGTTCCATTATATGTTGTCCAGGTCCACGTCGCTTCGAGGATTGCCATAGGAAAACCCTCGATTCCAGAAAACGCAACAATTAAGGTAATAGTTATTTGTGTACCAAGGCCGTAAAAGTGACCTTTTTTGGCCGAAGCTGCAGTTTGCGGCCGAGGCGGTAGCCGAGGCCGCAATTCAGATGAGGCCTAATAAATCACTTTTGGCCAAGGTGCACACAACATTTTTTAGGCGATCATCAAAAAAGAATTCATAGTTATCTTAGACAATTAAATGTCGTATGTAATTATAATTAGCATCTTTGCGTGTGTTTTGTGCGTATCAAAATGGGTGATAGCGACAGTTCAGATACCCCAAATGAAATTTTGAAAGCTGCAAGCGTTGCGACCCTAAGTCATATATGATATAAGAGCTGGCGTTTGAGAGTAAAAGTACAATCGCTACATCCTCCGTTGCACAAGATTTTAATAATGTCAAATGCAATATTCGTAACTGCGGCCTCCAAGACCTTATAATTAACATGCTGTACAATTATTAGAAACCTGATTGATTACCTACTCTTTGATGGTAGGTATAGGTAGCTACTTGTGTTCTCGGTTAATTGCTGGTGATTCTTCGTATAATAATGTAAGCAATAACATCTTCCTCATGTTTCTGTTCTACACTTCAAAAAGGTCTGCAAGCAGCAAAGATTGAAACGTCAAACTATAATTTTAAATGTGAACATTGTGATTATGCAAAATAGTGTGAAACATTCCTATACAAGTCCGAAAATGAAAAAAACGAACGTGGATGGCCTAATCCTTGATGGGACTAGACCAGATAGACGCTTTGTATCAAACAGATTACTGTTTCTCACACATCAGTTTCAAATAAGTACAGTTTGACAGATGTGTACAATAAAGTAAAGTTTGACAGAAGCGTACAATAAAGTGAAACTTTATGACCGCAAAAGCCACCACAAAATCAACGTTTTTATGATGATAGCCTAAAAAGTAACTTTTTTGATTTGTACAAATAATAAAATCGGTTCGCTTTAAGAAATTGCATTAGGTACATTTTTATGGAAAGTAATCAGAAAATTCGTAATGTAATTTTTTTTGGAAATTGTGTGAATGGAACCGCATTATAATATGTAAAGTACTTATGTTTTGACTGGAAGTAAGGACTTTGGTTTGTTCGTTCCATTGAATTAAATTTGTCAGATAAAGTGAGTAGGTAACACATGCAACGGTTATACGTGTGCTTCAAAAAAATGCACAAAATTTAACAAAAAGCACATACGGGTATTCAAGAATCAATGGTTGCTGACACAAGTATGTGAAAGAAACATCGTATTGATGAATAAAAGAATACTTTTCGAGTAACACAGAAAGTAACCGTTTTTTGTTAAATTGAGTATAGGTACTTATAACATACTGTATCCACACAATTCAGTTATCAAAAATAGTTCTCCCAAAGCTAAAATTGTCCTCATTCATTTTGACAACATTGTTCAATTAACTGTATCTCTTGAAGAAAATCCTTGATTCTTACATACATTTCATATATCATTTACGCTAACTTTGAGAAATTATTAAATCTCAATTTTTCGTTGACTCGTCACGTCATTCACGTTTAAAAAAGAAACATTTTAAAAAGTAAATTTCTCGTTAAAAAAAGACCGTAGAAAGTAAGAATATTTTGTTTCTGTCAAGTAGTAAAAAGCATCTTGACACGCCGAGAAGTATAACTTGTTTAACCGATGTAGTTCTCGAAGCTCCTAACGAAAATGAGGGAGAGGAAAATTTATAATTTGCCTCGGGGTCTTCTCCCTAGCAGTGAAATGTTTAATGTACTGTTTCTGCGGTATTTGCCCGTTTTCGGAATTATTTCGACGTTTAAACAAATTTGATGTAAAGTTGCGTTAACGTGAACATTAAATTTGGATTTAATATAATCCGCCCAAAATAACTGCGCCCACCGCACTCCCAACGTTTCGCTTTCAATTACAAAGAGATCCTCGGCTCTTTAATTAGCAAAGAAAATGGAAAATAAATTTAGGTGGAATAAGGCAAATTGGAATTTCCGCCTGTATATACAAATGAAACAGTTCTATATACGCACGTGTCTAATTCAATAATAATTGCTCGATGGTTTCAAAAATTTACGAAGCTCCCAAAGGACCAGCGAAATATATCTTTAAGATGGCTACAATTTCCTCTTCATCGGTTTAGTCGTCAGTAGAACTCATTCCGTCTAATTATCTTGTTTAGCCATTTTACTAGAAGGATGAGGATCCTTGACTACCCACTATGATGACTGCTTGTGAAATATCAATAATGCAAGGAATGCCGTATTTGATAAAAATGGTACCCAATTTATCCGCTACAAATATGCAAACTAAATAGGCTGACATTTTCCTGTTCTCATTCAGAAAAGTTGCTTGAAAATCAAGATTGATCAGTACAGAGAAAGTTATCATTTAAGACGTATGTTCTGAACGTCATGTTATATCGTGCTCCGCGTCCCACTTGAAATAAGAATAACGGATGTCATTAGAAAGCATAATCATTTGACTTTATCTAACCTTGCGGTTAAAGTGATCCGTCCGCCCGAGGCCTTAACTACTCCTATAGTTTTCAAGATATCAAGACAGCAAGGCGAAGGGGAGTTGGATGAAACAAGAAAAGCTATCTTCTTGGCAAGAGCACTTCAAGTAGATAGGTACCATTTATAAGGAGTTTCAAGAATATCATGAATTATATCATAGGATTAGTGAAAGATGAGGATTTTCCGGAACATGACAGAATTCGTTAAGATACCTACAGATACTATTTTTTACAAAATAAAAGCCTTATGTGTTATAATTAATAAATATCATTAACCATACAGAAAATTCTAACGCAAAACTAGTACAAAAATTACCAAAATTCAGATCCCAAAGTTTGCGGGTGATATCAAAGAATGGCCAGCTTTTATCAGGCGCCTATACGTTCTCACAGCATTCTGATTCAACCACTTTTCATTGGGGGCAACTGCAGTAGGTAATCTAAACACTAGAATTTTCAATTTCTTGGCGAAATGTTCAATTTTTTGGTGTATGCGAGACAAGTTAAAAATTAATAATTAAAAGTTTTGTGACTAATCATAACATACCTATAGTTCCAATATTAGAAAGAGTTTTAATTGCCTTAAAACGCGTACAAAGAGTGGCGCATGGAAAACGAACCAGCTAGTTAGAAGTGAATTTTCGCAAATTTCCATTAAGGTGAATCAGTCAAGTTTATACCTTGGAGCTTTGTCGAATATTCTATCCTTATTTTCTACGAGGGAGAATTACTTTGATGTGTACAGTACTCGCCGCCAGGAGAGGTAGAAGTTTACAAATTTGGGACTACTCCTCTATGAATTCTATTAACCTAGCTTTTACAGGGTGGACCTAAATACAAAGACCTATAATAAATACGGGAAACTCGGATTTCCGCAGCATTTACA